TTTCACTAGTTAAGATTTGAGGTAGTGCTTTTGTTAGGATTTGAGGTAGTGCGTTCAATTTCACAAGTGAGGCTAACTATTTGATTCTATAAATTGTTACAAAATGTGGCGTACTCTTTGGTACCAGTTATGTAACGAATTCAATGTTCATTTTTACGATTTTTAGGTTGAGTTATGATAATGGCATTTTTAGTCTAAAACAATTTCAATCCAATGTTTGATTTTTGTTTATCATTCTAAATAGTTTTAATGAAAATAATTGTGCTCGAAAAATAATTTATTGACCTGTTTTACGCTGTTTCAAATAAAGTTGGGCCCAAAATTAGATTGGGATTCATGATTTTCATGGTTAAATCTTTTTTATTTCAATTTTCAATTAAAGGTAGGAGTGCAAAGCAAAATGGATCCTCACGAACTAAAAAGAAGCAAATTATATGTTTCATATGTTTTTTTTTTCACCAGGTTAGAGAAATATCAATTCGTATTTGAAAATGCGTGTGCGTGTAACGACAAATTTGTTTGAAAATTACCGAAAGTTTTTTTTTTAATATCGATGGACTTTTTTTAAAGCCAAACATGCTACAGTTGTCATCAAGAACAATCCAAATCTTCAGGTAATTTTTTGATACCAGCACTCAAGTTACTTTTTTGCTTAGTTTTTAATACGATCGTTCAATATTCAACTTTCAAAATGATTCGTTCCCCAAAATGTTTATGCAAAACGCAAACTTTAAGAACAGTTAGTTAAGCCCCTGTCAGTGAACTCAGACATTTTCTAAAACTTTAGCAAACCAAAATCATGTGTAAACCCCTTTTTCATGGACTTTTTCAGCCTTTAATATGCATTCAGTGTCAGTAATGTAGACTTTTTTGAATTTTTTCGAGCTGTGTTTTGCCATAAAGATAACGATTTTTTGAACAACTTCACTAGTTAAGATTTGAGGTAGTGCGTTCGTTTAGCAAAGAATTTCTTTTAATTTCAAAAATCGTTTTTTGTTCTCAGATCAATGAAAAATACTACAATTAGACTATGAATACACTCGTTGTCTGTCTAAGAACTTGCGCAATTAGCTATTTCTGTTTTTAACGTTTTTATTTAACATTTCATTTATCATAGATCTTTCATGCAATTTTCTGTACTTATGGAATTGCTTGAAAAGTGTATGATTAACATTTTTCCATATACAAAAATTGTATGAATAGCGTATTTGGTCAAACTGGGCTGATACGTCAAAAAACCTCATTAGCCAGACTCAGAGGTCAAAACCAGTGTCATCATTTTGAATTGACGACTTTTGTTGTTTAGGATGAGACTATTTAGAACTTTTCCTGCCCACGATTTTCCGCATATAATATTGTCACTATTTAGAATGTTTCCTTGAGAGCTTCACTCCTTTTGATTGGCTGTATTAAACTAATTGATTCTTTGAAAGCTGATATATGATGGGCAAAACAGGGTATATTTTTGAAAAAAAAGACAATAACGGCAAACAAATGAAAATTAGTGGCTTCCACGCTTTCTCTACAGTTAATTTTTGTTCGATGACTAGAATGAATTATTTCAGTTTATGACGGCTCTAATTCTCTTTTAATTTAAATTTAAGTATCTTAATATCCACCTAACTGAAAACTCCTTCCACACTATACCTGATAGGACTGTCGAAGATCGAAGTGGTAGTAATTTAAGATAGGCGCCGAAGTATTTCAAGAATGCTTTGCTTTCCAGTTTCCTAGAACAAAGATTGGTGTAAAGTTATGAAACATCAATAAACGAGATCATCCAAAACTGAGAAAATCTTTAAAAGGATGTCAAAATTATTAGATACACTTTTCATTTAAATTTGCATGCTAACGTTTGACCTAATAAAAATCTACAAGAATAACTGAAAGCTAATTTCTTGGAAGGAAATCATTTGGGGTCAACTGATTGTCTAATATTTTGTTGATTCGCTAGATAAAATTGCGCTAAATGTTTTGATTTTGAATATGAAATTTTTTAGCTTTATTTTTACTACCGCGGAAACTCTTTGATTGCAAAATCCTGAAGGGATCCACCTATGGTTTGCGGTAATTAACTATCTCGAATTGTCTGTTGATCAGAGAAACACTGACGGAGATTCTATTTTGAGTAAAAGTTTTTGCCCCAAATTTGGAAATAAAAAATGCATTTGGTAAATTTCAAAATCGTACGAGGCAACGAAAATGATTTTTTCACAGCCCCAAGAAACCTTCATTGAGATTGTAGAGAGTTTTATGGTTCTTATGTCTTGAAAAAGTCCATTTAAACCGATTCAATCCAAAATTTCAGACAATAAGGTTGATCATTTCTTGACATAAAACATACGGAACAATTTGTTGTTAAATTCATAAACGCAAGAAAACGAGTTTATATTATTGATTTTTCATACCTCATACTATATCTTTAATTATCTAAAACAATTTTAACCAGTTTTTTGTCAGTATTGGAATCACGCCATTTTCTCAAGGAGTTAACTAAGGATAAATAGTTCTTCGAACTAACCAAAACGGGGCCTAGCAAATTGGAAGACCATGAAGAAACAGAATTTACGCACAACCAGTATTTACTCAGCCAAAAGTTAATTTAAGTCTTTAAGTCGGTAAACAAAATTCACGCAATTTGCACGCAAGTTATTGTCTAATTGGCAACCAGTATTTACTCAACCAAAAGATAATTTAACTCTGTAAACAAGTTTCACGTAATTTGCACGCAAGTTATTGTCCAAATTCCGTTATTTTCTGATCGTCTAATTTCCTGTCGTCCAAATTCCTAAACCCCAACCAAAACACTTAAGAAATCTGTTGCGATAAATCTTTGTTAGACTAACTAAAAAAGAGTCCACATTTGCAGCTATGTACGTTGTAAGATCTCTCTACAGTACCAACACGAAATGAAACACATAAATCAGGGAAATGTAGATAGCGTGTCTTGCCAAAATTCACAACAATCAGGTGGTTTTGGAGCAAATTTAGCTCGATTCATATGAGTTTTTACCCAGCTAAAGAAATCAATTCAAATCGAGTCTAAATCCTTGTTAATGACTGTAATTAGCTTTGTTTTTAAAATTTACTATTTCATTCAAATTGATTTGAAACCAATTAATTTGCACAGATTTAATCCACGCGCATACTCTTTTGTCTCTCAATTAATACGATTATTTTTGGAAGAAAATTATTAGATACACTTTTCATTTAAATTTGCATGCTAACGTTTGACCTAATAAAAATCTACAAGAATAACTGAAAGCTAATTTCTTGGAAGGAAATCATTTGGGGTCAACTGATTGTCTAATATTTTGTTGATTCGCTAGATAAAATTGCGCTAAATGTTTTGATTTTGAATATGAAATTTTTTAGCTTTATTTTTACTACCGCGGAAACTCTTTGATTGCAAAATCTTGAAGGGATCCACCTATGGTTTGCGGTAATTAACTATCTCGAATTGTCTGTTGATCAGAGAAACACTGACGGAGATTCTATTTTGAGTAAAAGTTTTTGTCCCAAATTTGGAAATAAAAAATGCATTTGGTAAATTTCAAAATCGTACGAGGCAACGAAAATGATTTTTTCACAGCCCCAAGAAACCTTCATTGAGATTGTAGAGAGTTTTATGGTTCTTATGTCTTGAAAAAGTCCATTTAAATCGATTCAATCCAAAATTTCAGACAATAAGGTTGATCATTTTTTGACGGTAAAATGTACGGAGCAGCTTGTTGTTAATTTCATAAACGCAAGAAAATGAGTTCATATTATTGATTTTTCACACTTCATGCTATATCTTCCATTATCAATTTAAAACAATTTCAACCAATTTTTCGTCGATTTTGCACTGTTGAATAACAATAATTGTAATTGTTGCGACCAATGAAAATGGGGAGGAACTTTGTCCTCGGGTGTTTTTTTTTCTTTTTGTTTTCCCCGCAAATTTAGGTACTACAAATAACATCGGATTGGTTTGAGTGATATATCATAGTAAAGCCGTATAAGTCGTGATTCAAACCAGATTTCAAAAAATTCCAAAAAAAATTTTTCCGTGCCGAAAAAAAACAGGTTTGAAGTTGTTGTTTTTTTCATCTGAATTCAAGCGAATAAAGCCAGCGAGCAGGCTTAGAACAGCTGAATTATGCCTAATTTAAGACCTTAAAACTAAAATTTATGCAAGTAATCCAGGTTTTGGAGTTTTTTAAAACGACCAAAAACTTCAAAAAATTCAAAAATTTTCTACAAAGAGTTTTGAAATTTTTTTTTTAATTTTTATTTTAGTTTTTCTAGTTTTTTTTCTACAAAAAGTTTTGTCCAGTTTGCTTACAAAATTATGGTTGTCTAATATGCCTAAATTGTATTTTAGTGTTGCAATTTTTCGGTTGATATGTTACAATAGGTGGTAATTTTGAGTATACTGCATATTTTAAAGTTGAGAACAATAATGCAGAATGTAGTCATTTCATTTTCAATCACTTGTACTAAGACTAAGATAGTTTTTCTCAATACATAACTCTACCAAATGAAATGCTATTCAAAACTTAACTTTTAGACATCTTTTGCCAAAAAATTTGGCTTTGAAATATCATATAAATAATTTGCGAAATATAACAAAAAGAGATGCAGCTATTGAAATTTAGCCTACCACATATTCTAATATATCACCAGTTTTTGTCCAAAAAGATAGCTGTAAGAACAACCCATAAACATTTATTTTTACATCAGATCCTTTTATCACACTAAGCAGGAAATTTTTTTGTAGTTTTGTAATTTTTGTACAAAAAGATAGCTGTAAAAACAAACCACAAAGTTATATAATTCAATTAAAATGGATCTAGGATTTTCTTGAGGTAGACGGGATTTTGAGATTTGCAAATGCCTTCTTCGCAGAAAAAAATGATAGAAATTGTCAGAAAATTTAGCACCAAGAATAATTATTCCGCTTAATTTTCATAAATTGCAGTCAAAATTTAGTAGTTTTGCTTCATTTTTTGTTTCAGTTGTTTCAGACAACAGTTTGACAAAATGAGCTGGTGCCATAGTCTTATGAGATGGTACTTGATGACAGTTGTAGCAGCAGAAGTCAGACTTGTTTCAACAGACGGAAACTACGAAAATGACTACACTTCTTTGGATACGGGGTCATCGATCTTAACAATGACTGTTGATTTAATTGCTGACATTTTTGACACGGATTATGATTATGATTATGATGCTGATAATTCATACACGAGTGATTACAATCCGGTCTCCTCGATCTTCAAATCCGACTACACGAGTGATTATAATCCGATCTCCTCGATCTTCAAATCCGACTACACGAGTGATTACAATCCGATCTCCTCGATCTTCAAATCCGACTACACGAGTGATTATAATCCGATCTCCTCGATCTTCAAATCTGACTACACCAGCGATTACAACGACTACACGAGCGATTACAACGACTACACGAGTGATTACAACGACTACACGAGTGATTACAACGACTACACGAGTGATTACAACGACTACACGAGTGATTACAACGACTACACGACCGCTAAGAACGACTATACCAGCTTACATGAGTCATTTGGAGGATCCTACATTCCAGATGACAACGAAGACTATACTCCTGATTTTGACAGGAGCGAGACATGGTGGTACGATGATCTAGATTACGATGATCCAGATTACTCCAGAGCTGTTCCAGAAGGTTCCGCTAAGCATACCTGTCAAGAAATTGAACCACAAGTAATTCTACCGGATTCGTTCACAGTCACTATGGACGTCACGTGGCGTAAGAGGCCACAGAATGTGGATTACATCAGTAGAGTTACGGTCGAGTACGATAAGGGCGATATCAACTTTCAGATCCAATATAAAGCTGAAACGATGGACACTGGAACTGGTTTTGACCTAAACTTGACTGTGGTAGAAAACAAAGCAGTTGGCTCCAGGTAAGTTATTCTCTACCTTAAAAACAAACTTATTAGAACCAATTTCTTTGCACTTTCAGCTTTGGACGTACAGGTCGAAAAACAATCCAGCGAAAAATACCTCAAAATACCCCTCGCATTAAACAGTTTGCAAGAACAGTTTTTGGCAAAAAAAAACGCGAGTTTTTAAGGATAATGTTAAATGTAATTCGAATAAACAATTAAATTACGCAGCAGTATTTAGACAACCGCGTATCAGACTCGTCAGTAAGTAGACAAATACTGTATTAACCAATCAGAATCGAGACAAGGAAGAAATGAATAACTAATAATTATTTATTTCGTAAATTTGTTTTCTCATCTCGATTCTCATTGGTTAATTTGGCATTTGTCTGCTTACTGACGAGTTGGAATCCACGGTTGTCTACATACAGGCCGCACTCCAAACAATTAGTACCATAGCGCGCGTTCATTTTAACAGAGTACAATTGAAAGCAAACACGCTGTGAGTTTTACTGCCACAACATGTCTTTGAGGTCAGAAAAGGTCAATTTCAAGCAACTTATACATTTATGTTATTGCAAAAGATAATAAGACTGCTCGTATCAGGAAGAATTCTTGAATGTTGCGACTGACTTTACAAGTCTATCGAGCAGTAAGAACATGAAAAAAAACTGTAATAAAAATAAAATGAAAATGTTTTTTTTTATTTGGTTTTTCGAACGTAGTAATATTTCAATTATGGCAAATAAGCTTCGTTCAACCAATTGGGACAGGTTTCTAAGATGTATTTTATTTCCGCTTACGCGTTAATGGCGCGAAATATATAGCGCGTTAGTTGTCCCAAAAGCCAAAAGGACAATCTTTCAACGCCCATAACTTTACAAAAATTGATCACAGGTGAAATATTTTTTTTCCAATTTAAGCTCAAGACAAACAATAATTTTTGAATTGTGGTTAATTTTTCTGTCAAAAATGGCTAGTTAAAAGGTCGAAATTTGTCTAAAGAAAAAAACCATCCCGAGCAAAAATATTCCGTTACTTTCGTTACGAAAGTCGGAACAATAAAGCTTCTTGTGCCGTGAGGGACTCGTACTTTCCCGGAAGTATCCAATTTAAGTCTCTGCTCAGCAGTTAGGTAAACCTATCGGCTAACGCCGCTTCCTCTTTAAAACTTTACAGCATTAAACTTTTACGCTTTCTTTCTATTTGTTTTTCATGCTTATTCACGCTTGTTCGATTATATAAGGTTTTCATTCTCAGTTTCCACAAAAATTAAAAGTAATCAATTATAGCTGGTTAAAATTGAATAACAATCTTCTTTTTTTGTCAAACCAATAAAATCCACTTTCACCGATTATAATCAGTACAACGAATTACAATTGTTTTTTTTTCCAGAGGGTGTCTGAAACTTTCGGGTCTTATGCACTAAACAGCCCAAAATCAATGTTTGTATAACTTGAGCTGAAAGTTATTCGGTCGAATCTGATTGGCTCAATCAAACCCAAGCAACACGGTCAAGCCAAGCGTTTCAGTCAACCTTTCCAGCAGATAAAAATTTTAGCCGAAATTAAAGAAAAAATATATATTGGTCACATAAGAAAATTAGTTTCACGTCAACTCTGAAACTTTGCCCAGACAAGAAAAATTTTGTGAAATGGTTTCAACAGAACAAAAATTCTTAGTTTTTGGTAATTTGGCTAGCAATTTTATCTGCTTGAAGTTTTAATCAAAGTACCGTACGCGTTGTTGAATTAGCCAATCAGATTCAGCCACAAATTTTTATTGTTCAATGTAGAAATACTAATTTCGGGCCGTTTAGTGCATAAGAACCGAACTTTCAAACACAGCTCATTTTTTTGCAAATTGAGAGGGTGGCTTGTCACGGAGCCGAATACCAGGATAGCCGAAAAATAAATTCATTCCTGGACAGCCGAAAAACAAATTCGTTCCCGGATAGCCGAAAAGTAAATCCCCCTTCTACCCCTTGCCTATTTCTTAACAAAAAAATCTATACCCGAAAAAGGATATCATAAAACATACCAAAGAGGGACCCTTTGGTTGGCGAGGGGGTCGAATCCCTGTAGTAGTCGACTTTTGCTGTTAATTAATTGAATTAGAGTAAAAGTATTAGCCAATCAAATCTCCTAAAAAGGTTCGGATTTTTGTTAGCTATAACAGGCTGCAAAATTTTGAGACATTTTTTGTCCAATCAAAATGCGTCTCAATTTAGTGAATTTTTCTGATTTAATTTAAATACAACCGGAGGTATTTAGTTTTTTCGGCTATCCGGGAAGGCGGCTCCGTGTGTACGCGCCATTGAGATTTGCTTTTGACTTGGCACACGTTTTATTAGAAAATTGCGAAAATGAACTGACTTTGACAAGAAAATTGTTATTTTGTTATTTCCATCGCAATTTTTTCTTATACATATCTCTCTTCACAATTTTTTCTTTTAACTTTTCCCTTAACAATGTTTTTGCTTATACATTGTTAGCTTCTCAAATTTTATCATCCCTTATCCAGTTTAAGACCCTCTTTCCCTCCTTGTCCCCGATGTTTAGCCCCTTTTTAGGCCAACCCCCCAGCTTAGTTCATCCCCCATGCTAACACGCCCTTCCCCCAGTTTACTAGAACCTCTTTACCAAAAAACCAAACAGCTCCTTCCAAGTTAACCCCCTCCCCGTGGGAGCGGTGGGTATGTGTATGTGTGGGGACAAATCTTGGGGGAGATGAATTTTTAGTAAACTGGGGGAGGGGATAAACGGGTAGGGCGTGCAGGAGGAAGTGGAAGGGGTGTTGGGGGTTGGGGGGGGGGGGGGGGGGGGGTTGTTGTTGGGGTATCAAAGTAAGGACGGATGCCGAACTTTGGGGAGGTAGAGGAGTGAACGCGAGGATGGAAAAGTTCATTCGGGTTCTAGTTTTTGCTAAATTGGTAAAATTCATTTTGAGACGTTCGGTTCCAAAAGTTTACTCAACGCATAAACCATTTTGGCAGTTTTTAGTCAACAAAAATTACGCAAACTAGCGGTTCTGTTGCTGACAAATTATATCAAAATTAGTTTTTCATGAACCCTAACAAAATTTTTTCGAAAAATTTTCAACAAATTGTGCAAATGGTTTTTATATAAAATTTGTTAAATTAAAAAGTGAAAACGATAATTTTTGGCCATGAAACTAAAATAAATTTATCTGTCCAAATTGAGAAAACTAAATTTGGACAAGCACTCTTCGAAAACGTTGTTAGATTGCATCTTTGTTTTTTATCGAGACGGAAAAACAACTGGTCTTATTCAGCGGCTGAACTAGGATTTTCTCGAGGGGGGTTTTCAAAAAATTTCAAAAGTTTGTCGAACTTTTTTTTAGATCAACCAAATTGATCTTCTGAGTTCTCCCAAAACACTAAAATGACCCTGTCTTGGCCAAAGTTTTCATGCGACAGGCAAAATTTTGAAAAAAGAGGCCAAAAAGGCGTTTTTAGGCACTTTTTGGAAAATTTTGACCAAAAAAGTTGCGCTTTTTTGGCGCGCGCTCCCCCCTCAAAATTAGTATATATAAATTTTTAGGGTCCGTCACCAAATCTAGATATCTCAAAATAGAACAAAGCGGAGACGCAGAAATTTTGAGCTCGTTCGGCACTTTCTGAAACAAAGGGAACTAACAACTGAGCCCAATAGCTCAAAATTAAGCGCAATTTTTTCCTTTCCGTGAAAGTTTTCTGCTCTTTCATACAGTTTTCTTACAATCTGTCTAACTCAGCTGGCCTACGAATTAAATAGTCAAACTAAGGGGGCAAAGGTCTGTCCATTAATTATTGGGTTATACTTTCAGTGATGAATCATGGTGGTGTTTGGGCGAAGACGGAGCTGGATTTCCAGTTAAACAGTTTATAGAAACTGTTATGGTGAGATATTTTTTCTCTTCTATTTTTTCAATCGGTGGATGACTTCATAAGTGTTATTTATAATTTCATACGACAAGTTCGATGAAGTTCATCAAAGAAACACATTTGAAAAATCTTAATCTCTAGCATAATAAAACATGATGTGAAAATTTTAGGTAATAGATTTGGAAATTATGACAATAATTTTAAGCAAATAAGTTAAGCAAATTTCAACGCATTACATCCCATCCCAAATTAACAACCCCCTCTGCTTTGGGGTGCTCAATTCGTAAAACAAGCTTACGAGTGGATCAAATTCAAACGAAAGCATACGTACGTTTAATAGATAGTAACTGCATTAAAGAGGAAAATTTTTCACAATGGCTAAAAAGGCACAAATTGCGTAGTTGATTTCCCACGCTTTTTTAAAACAAAGTTGCACGTATTGAATTTTATCATTGTCCCTGAAACCTATCAAAAAAATTTGGTTAAAAACAAATAAAATATTTTTTAATCTTCCCACTCCCAGTGAAACTTACTTTTGAGATTTTTGGGATATTTGCTTTTAATTAAAGGGGGCGATTGTTTTGTATATTGTGCAAAATACGATTCTGGCCAATGCAATTTCATAACACGCGCTTTATTAGAATACTGCTTCAAAGAGAACTTGAAAAAATAGATAATGATAAAAAAAAGTACAAATTGTAAAAATATAAAAACAGCCGATGTTTTTCCCAGAAATACAAAACACTGATAAGACTGTTCGTATCAGGCAGGGGCGCATCTAGTGAAACGGGCGGGGAGGGGGGGGGGGGCAGGCGGACCTTACTATTTTATGACATCCACCTTCGGCCAACTAACCCTAAAATTTTCGAAAAAGTGCATTTGGCGCCAATATATAATAAAATTGAAAAGCCAGTGCGCGCAAAAAAAATGCAATTTTTTGGTCAAAATTTTCCAAAAATTGACCAAAAATAGCAATAACGATCAAATTTTTTTAAATTTTTTTTTTTGAAATTTAGTCTTCATAATGTTCTGGGAGAGCTGGGGAAATCATTTTGTTTGACCAAAACAAAAAGCCCCCTGAATGTTTCTAATGCTTCTCAAAGCCTATGGAAAACAAAAAACAAAAAAAACGGATTTTTTTTTGAATTGTGTAAAAATCTTCCCGAACACGCTATGTAAAGTACAAAATGAGATAACTAGTTTGAAAAAACGTGTTAACTACGAAAAATTTTTTTGCATCCAATCATTTTGGAACGACTCGTCAGGCGGATTAGATCGCCGCTCACGCGGTAATAGCTCAAAAAAAATCAACCTTTAATATTATCAATTACATAAAATGGCAGTTTTCAGACTCCTATAAAACGACAAAATATCTGTGAAATACCTTAAAAAGTTTTCGCTTAGGAGGTCAATAGCTCTTACATTAAAAATTGAAATTTGTTTGATAAAAAACGACAACATGCAATTTTTTTCCTCTCTTTTTTGAAAAGTCAAAACAGAAATGATCCATTGAACCTGAAGTTTTCTCTGAAAAAGAAAAAAAATATAAGCGAAGCATCATAAAATCCTATTGCAAAGTTGGCTATGCAAGAATTCGCAACCTGTCAAAACCGATGTTCGATTGATTTTCGCGGCTCTTAATTTGATTACACGGCTCCTAAAAATATATGTGAAGTAAAACATTAAGACCAGTAGGCAATATTTTGAAATCTTTTTGGCTAAAAAATAAAGATAAAATTGATAAATTTGATAAATTTAATAAAAAATATTAAATTTCAGGGAAGGGTTATCACTTGGTACAAACTCCAAATTAAGTAGCTATCAAAACAAGCTAATATTACGTTAATTTAGCAGGGTTCTTGAAGTGGCAACGACATAGTTCTATCATAAATGTGCCGCTCGACGTTCTAAACACAATTTTATTTCTTGTTCACAGCAAAAGAATATGAAAATCCTCTCGAGGCACCAGCAACGTTGCTCCGAATTACGCTCTGCGATTTTGGAATTTGAAGTACCTTGTGAAACGTACAAGATTTTGATTTTGAACAATCAAATCTCCAAAATAAAAAGTGAAGATTTTCAAGCCATCACTACATTCTGGAGGACGCCTGTCCATCGTATTCTGAAAACCAGGTCTACAAAGTTGAAGGGTAAGCGCTTTGCTAACTCGATTTCAAGTTTGTGTTATTTCTCGTTCCTCACCGAGTTTCAAGAAAAATAGAAAATTAGAAACAGGATTTTTCTGAAAATGCAATATAATCAAATTAATTGAAGATTTTTGATAGTTTCGGTTTATTTAATTATTAAAATTGAGGAAAATGGTTTTAACAAGGAGAAAATTGACTTCCAAGATGTTTCTGTTGGCGTCCCAAAATTTTTTTTTAAATGTAACGGTGTCTTTGAAATACCCTGTTAGAATTTAGAATCAAAGATTCGAATCAAAATGTTGCTCCAGCATTGAAACCTCAGCCTAAAAAGTTTGATCGAATAATAGTTAAAAAATAAATTGAATAAGACTGCTCGTATCTTGGCTAAGCCCTGAATGTGCCGACTGCTTTTTAAGGTCTATGGAGCAGTACTAACATGAAAAATTAAATGTAATTTTAAAAAAATGGAAAAAAAAATTTAAAAATGAGATTTTTTGTAAAAATCATCCCCAACACGCCACATGAAGTGCAGAGTCATAGATTCTGCTCCTGTTATCTAATCAATCATGGCAAATAAAATTGCTCCAACCAATTTGGAACGATTTCTAAGTACTGATTAAATCTCCGCTTACGCGTTAACAGCACGAAAAATATCGCATGTTAATTGTCCAAATTGATCAAAACGGCTATCTTCAAACCCCCATAAGCTTACGAAAAATGATCGCTGCTGAAATATTTTAGTAAATTTATGCTCAAGACAACAATACCTTTCGAATGCTATAAAAAAAACTCCGTCAACAATGGCTAGTTAAAAAGTCGAAATTTTTCTGAAAAAAAACAAGACTGCTTTTATTTTAGGGCAAAGCCCTGAATGTTCTGAATGTCCCTTAACTAATATCAAAATGTATTTGAGAAAAAATATTGAAAAACAATAAATTTTTTGACAACATCATAGTGTAAAAATTTGAGTCGTACTAAATTAATACGACCAATTATCTAGCGTCAGTTCAATTTGGAACGATTTTGCTGTACGGGATAATTCGTCACGCATCAATAAATCACGTAACCTTTGCAGCATTTATGAATAAACTCTTCAAAATGCGCTTAATTTAGTCCAGAACATAGCTAATTTGGCATTTTTCAAACCTACAGAACTTTAAAAAAAATAATCGGAGGTAAAATATATTTTTAAAATTTGAACTCAGAAAGTCGATATCTTCAATGAGCTTTAACAATTTTTGGTGAAAATTATTAGTTCGATCCTCGAAAATTGACTAAATAAAAAAACACACCTAGCATAAATATTCCGTTTTCTTCAAAAGTTGGAACAAAAACGACCCCGAGCACAATTACGCCGTTACTTTTGTCACGAAAGTCGGAAAAATAAGAAAGTGTGGGCAAGTAAACCATAAAATATCTAGCAGAATTTTTGTCTGTCTTTTAGAACAACTCAAAACTATCTATTAAAAACAAACATTTTTCCTTACACTTTATATCGGGCTCTGTAATGGAGATTATATTAAGACTCACTTTGAAGTATTTTGTTCAAAAAATTCGAATATCCAAACAAAACTACTCATATCAGGGTAAAGCGCTGAATGTTTCGACTGCTTTTTAAGGTCTATTGAGCAGAAATAAAATGAAACAAATTAAATGTAATGAAATAAAATGATTTTTTTAATGAGATTTTTGTAAAAATCATCCCCCACACGCCATATAAAGTTTAAAGGGATAATAAGTTTCGCTGCCAATAACAAATCAATTTGGCAGACAAGCTTCCCTTAATCAATTTTGGAACGATTTCTAAGACGGCTTAATTCTCCGCTTACGAGTTAATATCGCGAAATACATCGCGCGTCAATTGTCCCAAATTGGCCAAATAGACTATTTATAAACCACCATAACTTTCAGAAAATGAGGTGAAATATCTTTTCAAATATAAGCTCAGGACAACACTACATTATTCATAACACTTTTGAATAATATTTTAAAAATTGCGTCAAAAATGGCTATTTAAAAAGTCGAAATTTGTCTGAAGAAAAAAAGCCACCCTGAGCAGAAATATTCCGTTACTTTCGTTACGAAAGTCCTAACAATAAGCGTGTGAATAGCATGAAAGCGACCGATCGTTTAGCAGACCAATCTTTTAGCATAAAAAGTGAAAAATGAGTCATTTAGCAGACCAACGTAATAAAGTGATTGAGAATTGATTGACAGACTCAAAAAGAAGCTCAGTCTGGGTCTAAGCTTCCCCAATTAAGTTAATTATCTCACAATTTGTCAACAAAAGTATCAAATTCAAAAACACAACAGTCTAAATTAGCGGCGTTTAAAATGTACGCGCAGAATAACACTCGTAATGAATTAACACTCGTAATCCAGTGCACAGTTTGGCCTCATAATGCCACTCCACAAATCTGGCTCGAGTCAAGCCAAACTGCTCCTTTTAAACTTTGATGCTGGAAGTGTGACGCACATTTTCTACGCGTGGCGAATTATCCAGCACTACAAATAGTTCCAAATGGAGCTGCAATTGAGGCAATTTAATTGGTTTTAATAATTCCATACATAATTCAAATTTTGACACTTAAAACTTGATTTTATCAGTCTAAAATTAATAATTTTTCATTATTTAATAAACCAAAAACTATTCGACACCATAGTTAATGGGCAGTCGGAACATTCAGGGCAGTCTAGTTACGATATATTTTCTTTTTTGGTTAGTGTTATTATTTCACTGCTTGTACTATGTATTTGACTGTGTTCAGGGAAAACGCTTTCGTGTCCATACCATGAAGAACCTTTTGAGCCCGAGAGCGATGAAAAAGCTGAGTACGAGTTCAACAAAGAATTTGAAGACACCATCAACAGAAACAAACGTGCCACAAGCGAACCGGTAAGAACGTTTCTCTTATTTACAAATATTTAAATTTTTTGACAACTGTTGTAAAACTTTGCGTTTCTCATACTTAGCATTTCGAAATAAGGGTATCCCTGCACTATCGCACAAAAATCATGTACTCATCGCTTAAAATGATACTTTTATTTAAAACTGTGAAAATGAGCAAAAGTTTCACCAAAAAATGGATAAACTCTTTTTTTAACTATTTTAAGCTGAGTTTCGTAGCGCTTCAAAACTGTTTCCGAAAATGGCCGTTAAAACAAATCGTTTTCCATCCGTTCCTTTAACCAAACTTAAAACTGTTGCCATAATGGCATATTTATCAATCTTTCGTTCATGCCAAATTTCATTCATTCATTCATTTAAAGCGAAAATTGATTGCTCAAACGCAAGGAAAAGGAAAATTCTACTTTTCATTAGTGTTTCAGTTGGAGTGTCTTTTCATTCACGGAACTGGACAGATACCGGAAGATACAGGAATGCATATCCGGGAAACGTTTCCAGGTGATTTTATTGTACACATACGCGAAAAAAAAAACATTAAGGTTTGCGAACTTAAGGTACTATTTGTCGAAGTTTAATGAAAACTATTTATAAAATCAAGAAGTCTTTTTGAACATTATATTTGAAAAAATTATTTTCAAGCAGCAGTAAAAATAAACAAGACTGTTCGTATATTAGGGCAAAGCCCAAAGTGTTCCGATTGCTACTTATTTCATGAGGAATAGTTTTTGGGAAAAAATATTCAACACTTTAAATTTTGGACAATATGAAAGATCAAACTTAAAACTTCGAGTCGTACGAAATTAAAACGACCAATTAGCTAGCCTCAATTCATTTTGGAACAATTCTGTTGTGCTGTATGATTCGCCATGCATAAAAAATTCGCGTTACCTTTTCGGCATTATGAATAAAATCTTCAAAGCGCGCATAAGTTAAACCAGAGCATGGCCAAATTGGCAATTTTCAAACTACCAGAACTTGCTGCAAGAAATGATCCGAGGTAAAAACATCTTTTTTGATTTGATTTCAGCGAGTCAATATTTTCAATGGGATATCAAAAGTTTTGCTAAATCTATTATTTCGATCGAAAATTGACTGAATAAAAAAACAACTTCAAGCATAAATATTCCGGTTTCTTCGAAAGACGGAGCAAAAATTGTTTTGACTGAATCTTCCGACTGCCTCTGAAAGTCGTTAAAAAGGTTTAAAAATTGTTAAAACCCGTCTGAAAACAATAAAAAAAATTAACAAAAGAATTGCTCTCCGATTTCGTTTCTTGATTTCATCCCCTACACGCTATGTAAAGTACTAAGTGGTAAGTTCTGCAAACCTTTTAATTTGGAATTATTTAAAATGCTGCGTTTGCCTTAGGTCTTTCTGCGCTTTAGTTGTTCCCATTTAAATTATGGCATTCAATGTACTCCAATTCAGTCTTGTAACACTTCAAGAAAAAAGATCGATTTTAACATTGAGCTTTGGGCATCAAAGTTTAACAGATGGAGTTGAAATGTTGAAAGTTGTCTGGGCAAAAAACTACACGCACAAAGATTCTGTCGCCTTCTTTGACGATCAATAACTTTTTCTGATTCCAAGTTGTTACAAAAATTAAATCTAAAAAAGGATAGTCGGTTACTGTGAAGTAGAACAGAACGTTCCGACCAGTCCTAAAAAATGCAAAAGTGTTTTCTTTTAGAGCTTGAGCGTATTCGACTGTCACAGTCGACAGTCAAAAAAAGGGCAAATTGGAAAATAATTTTTGAAGAAAAATGACTAGAAAAATTAATGAAAATTGTTACAAAAATCAAACGAAAAATTCAAAAGATTTTCCAAGTTCTTGTGCAAAACTTTTTTGAATTTTGAGAGAAATTTAGTATACGTTGTTGATTAGCAAAATGCGCAAGAAAACTTCAAAACTAACTTAAGAAAATTAATTTTTTTTGGTATAAAAATAAGCACGGATAAGCTAATTTAAGCCTGCTCACTTCTCTTATTCGATCAAAATTAGACCAAAACTTAACATATTCAAACTGTTTTTTTTTCGACACTATCAAAAAGTTTTCATTTCCATGGGCCTCAAAATGATATACCACTCAACGCATTCCGTTGGCTGGTTTTAGTACTTGATTTTGCTTGGAAAACAAAGAAAGTAAAACCCACCCGAATACAAAGTTTCTCTCCAATTTCAATGGTCGGAATAAATACTTTAACGCTATAAGGGAACTCAAAATGTTATAGGACTTCTGTATCAACATCAAAAAAATTCAAAAAGAAGCACAGAAATATGTGCTACTCTCCAAAGCAATGACCAAAAATATCAACCATTAAAGACGAATGCAAACAGGGGCGGATTTAGGGGGGGGGGGGCGGACGCCCCCCCCCCCCTCAGGGATTCGACACCCTGCCGACACAAAGGGTCCCCCCTTTGGTACTTTTTAAGAAATCCACTTTTGGCCGACCGACCCTAAAATTTTTCTAATATTTACTAATTTTGAGGGGGGAGCGCGCGCCGAAAAAACGCAATTTTTTTGGTCAAAATTCTCCAAAAAGTGCCTAAAAACGCCTTTTTTGACAGTTTTTTTTTCAATCAGGGATTCGAGCAAGAGTAGTTAGACTCTTCAAAGACTTTGAATCTGGGTAGCAAAAAATTTTATCCACACGGAGAATTTTTCAGGGTTTCAATTTCGGTTGAAAAATCCGCCTCTGCCATAGTTTTTTCCTACGTTTACAATAAAGGTCATTACAAGAATTATAAGTTCTAACATGGTCCCTGCTACTTTTCAGAGTATTGGGGGAAACTGCACGACATGCTGCCAAAAGTGTGCAGCTCTACCAAGTTTCTTCATATGGATACAGTGAACAATGGATGGGATAACACCACGTTGCACGAATACATTTGTACCTTTGCCGCTGGGGGGGTAATTTACAAAAAATCTTTTTACCCACCAACAAAAACAAAACAAATAAACAGGTTACTTTTAACTTTCACATATTTTTGGCTTACATTTTTTATGGGTTATCAAATTTATGCAAAATCCAAAAATATAGCTGTTACACTAATTTTCTGACGACTGATTGACAAAAACTTTTCTATCATCGCCTACGGCGTCAAGTTAGGCTTGTTTTGCGGCAGTTCGCATAGGGTACTGTGTTCACATAATGATCGGCAGATCCTGGATTCGATCCTCTGTTCTTGCAATGATAGCATGTGAGGACGACCTCTCTCTTAATTTGGCTTCAAATCTACCATATTCTGCCAGACTTTACTTTAATTGTACTACCACAAGGTAATTCTAAACCCAAAAAAGGGCTTCGGTCACAAAGTTGGTAATGCGTTAACTCAGTCTGGAATGCGGGAAAAATTAGAAAACAACAATGGTTACAAGGGCTGGATGTTCTCTCATAGATTTTCTGCGATTTTCTGCGATACTTTGAAAAAGAGTGAAAGAAAACGCCCAGTCAATAAAATTTTAACACTTTACTTTACTACTTGAAAAAAATGGAACTTAAGCTTAAAAACGGGCAATCAGCAAAATAAAGTTTTTCGTACTTTTTTATGTCGTCAATTCTTATGTTGCGGCCCGACAATGAGTAGAAAACTTCCCCAGGCAAAAAACTACGTTGTCCTTAAATTAAATTAGAATAGTATATCCAGAAGGGAAAGGACCAACATACATGCTGTTCAGCTCTTCGCGGAGAATTGCTGTGGTGATCCTGCTTAAGAGCTGCATGCATTTTTTGGCGATTTTTGTGCTGGTTAACATTGCCTTACCCTCGATCAGGTTCGGTCTCAAAAAATTGACTTTTCGATTGAGTGGTGAAGACGTAACCTCTTCCCCATCGCTTCTCTTTTACTGAAAAGCAGTTACTTTTTAATGACAGGCAGCGTATCTAAAAAATTCTAGAAAAATTGGGCAAAAAAAAACAGAAAATTAAAGATACTAGAAAAATTCCAGGACTTTCTACACAAAATAGTTCGAGTCACACAAGAGCAATAGCTTCAAACAAGGTTGGTGCTTTTTAAAAAACCTATGGAAATTCAAGTTTCCTTCAATAAAATTTCAGGACGCCTCAGCTTTTGCATACATATCTTCCAAGAAGTCTGAAAAAAATTGTTTAGCATTACCTTCTTTTTGCTTTTCCTGAAAGTATCTTGCAATTTTTTCGCACACAATTTTAAAACGGATCATGGGATCGAAAAAACTGCACGTGATTTTCGTGACCAACATAATTGTTTCGCAATATTGACCCTATAAAAATTGCTCGTTGATGAAATTGTGCCAATAGGGTCCTAAAAATTTAATGGCATCCGCTTGGAAGGCTTTAATGGGATCCGCTTGATGATTTGTGGTTAATATTTTCTTCTGTTCCTGTTGCTCAAGAATCTGACGGAGCTTTTGCTGCAGTTCATTTTTATCTATTTTTGTTTTGTAAATGTTTGTGAACTTCCACTGGTCACTATATAAATCTGAAAACTGTCTAAAAGTTTTCGAGGTGAGCTTTTTTATACAGAAATAACAGCCAAAGAAAACATAGAAAAGTACACATTTTTGCAAAGTTTTTTTTACTCGTTTAATTGTTTTGCTTGAAGATTGAAGACAGATAGTTATCATTGCAGTAACTTTAAAACAGAGAAAACAGTCCTACTCTTTGTTTTTGCTTAGCTAATCTGTTCAACTGCTTAAGCATGTTTTTTCCTTTTATATATTTTCTAAGAAATTTTACGATCTATAAAAAAACATAGTATCCGGGTTGCTAGCCCTTAGAAAGACTACCCATATTTTCTATAAACAGTCAATCAATAACTTTCACACAAATAAAACAAGTGACAATCATTTATTTAAATTTGGGAAATGTTTGATCATAATTGATAATGATTAACGTATAAGTCTTGATAACTTTTTTTTGTTTTTTTTTTCAGAAAAATTTCTTAATATTCTCCTATAACTGCGGGTGCGCATTCATACGTAAAATGCATGTATGAACATTTAGGGATATATGCATTTTTTGCGTTCAATTTATATTCATTTGCTAAAAATTACGTGAATAGCACTCTCCAAAAAGAACGCAGAATTTGCGCAAAAAAAAAGCGCGAATTATAGTTTTGAAAGTGGAATTTAGTTTATAAAAATCTCAGCGGAATAAAAACGGTACCTATTGATCAAGTTTTCTCAATTGGGTAATTTTAACCGAAAAAGCACCAATCATAAATTGTTCTGGAAGTTCAAAGTGTTTCAATGCCTTTCATTTTTTCTCTAAAATTCGAAATTTGAATGTTTTGCTTGTAATGAGTTTGAACGTAATGAGTCGTTTGTTTTTGTTTTTTAATCTTGAACTGTTTTTTTTTCTTTTCAAAAAAATGATTTTGGATCATAAACGTTCAGACTTGATAACTAAAGTGCAAACTTCAAAAAATTGCATATATATCATGAGGTCAAAACCATCTTTGAAAAACGTTTGGAGAAACTACCTCATGGGTGCAATTTTTTCTGATGTTGTTAGCTAATTGCGATTTTTGGTTGAAAGTCTGACTGCAAAAAAAAACTAAAAAACATTTGGGTTTCTGCTAAATACAATTGATTTTTCAGCATTTCAGCAACTGGACAACGTAACAGAAAATAAGCTCAGTTTTGCATGCAACTTTCTTGACAGAAAAAAAATACGAAAAAGTGAAAAAATATTAGAAACTTAACTAAACCAAAAAACTATAAGCTAGCATTTTGAGTAATTTCCTTACCTGGGATAACCTTCCTTCAAAAATAAGTTTATCGTAAACTTTCATATGACCTCAATTTGAGTGTTTTAAAAAAACTTTTCATATAGTTTTAGATTAAACTTACAACTTGTTCGAAAAACTTCAGAACAAAAGTATACCTCTTCTATACAAAAAAAAACAGACCACTGTTTTCAACAAAGGTTTCTCACTAAATACAAATTATTTATTTTAACTTTTTGCGAAACCTATTTTACTAATTTATATGGCAAATCACCAAATGTAGTTTAAGTGTGTGATTGCTGCCACTTGCATGAAAACATCCTTCGTGACACCTAATTATGCGGAATTAAAAAACAATTGGTTTTTTTTCTGGAAAACTGACAATCAATTAAATTTCAGCGCACACTTCTAAAGGTATATCAAATAGGGTAAGACGTTTTTCATGTAGGAAAATTGTCTGATTAGAAGTTTCGGCCAACCCAGAAACATTGAAATGTACTCACAGCGTTTTCGTTTGTTTTCGTTGAATGGTGGTCAACCCTGCAATCAACCCTGGGTAAAAAAAATTTAAACCAAAATTTTGTTCACAAACCTTCACTTTTTATTAACTCAGTGTGGAAATTAGGGGGGAAATACATCAAAAGCACTTCTTGGATCTTTTGTATACTTGATTTGAATATGGGGCTTCATTGAATTTTTAATCTCTGCTAAATGCGCTGGAAGACAATCTGTTTAGGTTGGCCGTCCGATCAAAAACAAGATCATTTTCACACACTCGATGGGAAATTTGTTGTTTGGAGCGACCTTGAAAACCAAGAAATGCAGGCTACACAAAAAATCGAGCCAGTGGTATGCCATTCAAGCTCCTTGGAAGGGAAGCAAAGTAGCTGAAAAACTAGAAAAGCTATGCCGTCAAGAAGGACTGCCAGTCTACAAAATTCCTCTGGTTGGAAAAATTACCGCCAAAAAAGTTCTATCAACTCTTCGGGAGATGAATTACTGCGATTCAACTGACCCACTTCCATCCCCAGTATACAGAACAATAACACCAAATTATAATTCCAGGTTAGAAATTCTCAATTGAAAGGTCGGATGTTCGAGGCCCACCATGATCCATGCTTGGTGCTTGAGGGTGAGGCAACATTACTCAGCCCAGAAAAATGGCTAAAAATTGCAAGTAGTTCTTAAGCAGAGCCACAACAGCGGTTTGCCGTGATGAGCTGTACAGCTTGTAAAGTGGTCCTTTCCCTCGTGGATAAAATAACTTAGGAAATTATAACTCTAAAGCAACCAGGCAAAATTTCTGAATAAAGCCAAATAGTAGATGAGCAAATTATTCTTTGTTGTTTGTGCTTATTTTGTAAGAAAATTTGAGTTTGATTGCTTTGTTGTGAAAATTTAAAACTTTGCCTGCTTGAATTGATTTTGAGACACAAAATTTTTCACAAAATTTAAATTTTCCTGAGAATAAGTTTTTGTAAGGTCTTGCAAAAAACCTTACCATATTTGTATCATATGTATAGGGTGTACGAGAAAAATTTTTTTCTATAACTGTTTTTGCTTCTAATTTGACTACAAAAAGAAATTTATATAAATTTGTCATTTTCTATAAGTTTTTATGTTCCGCATTATTTTCATTGTTGAGTTCGACCCGGGGAAATAGGTGGGGGAAAAAGAGAGTGTGCATTCAAAACAGACGGTTTCAAAAATAAAAGGTGTATTCAATCCGAAACTACTCCATAGGTAAATAAGTTACACTACTCAATGTCAATAAGCAAGAGTGAACTAAACGAATTAGGTTTGTTTCAGTATTCTTGGATTGACTTTGAGTGATATTGAAAAATTCTCCAAACCATTGATCTCCGGTGCAATGTGTGGAATGAGCTCTTGGGGAATGGGAAGAAAGTGGAGCCGGTCAGGGCAGCTTTTTATGGTACAATGGTTAGTATCTGAACCAATTGACTCGCGCAATGAGGACAATAAGGGCTCTTTTTTTTCTGTTATATGGGCCAGAGTTACCAAATTTTAACCTGGCTTCTTTTTCCAATGAAAGTCAATCTTCATTACTGGGTGTGCTTTCAGATGCAAAACAAAACAGCTAAAAAATTTTAAAATTTCACGCTCACCAATCTAAAAATTCGGCTGAGTGCACGCTGTCCAAAATTTCAAATTTGAGTACACTCTTTTACATGGGCATATGCCAATCGACACACCCTAATAGGCCAGTCCTCCTTCATTACAAGACCACTGGATAGGCACACTGTGTGTAGGTCACTGGAATCCAGAGACAAGTTTGTAAACATGTTGAAATTATGTCGACCCAATCAAAGGAAACACAAGAAACTCAATCAAATAAAGATGAAACTTTACGGATTCCCGTTACAATTCCCAAATTGCTCAGTTTGGCTTCGTAATGCTTTCAATTCGCTGGAATTTATTTGAACCGATCAAGCTACATAATTATGATTCAATTTTCAAAATAAAGGGAAGGTCAGTTTTGGACCATAAAACAGAGAAGAACCCATGGAATGGAAGACTTCATTTTGAAGCGGCAATATTAAATGAGTTTTGTTCAAGTGGTTATTTGAAAAATGGAATGTTTGTCAATTGTATTAAATGAAATTGTGCTAATACATACCCTGTATTGAGCTCCGGTAATTATCAGCTCTAAAAACAGTACAAAAAAAGACAGAAAAGTTCATTTTCCCCACAAATTGCATCTGTTCATATAACAAATTTTATTTTATAAGGTTTTCAACACACCGTTTTATACCATTTTATAAAGCCAATTTCATAAATATCTTTAGTTATTTTAAATTCGCATTTTCCAAATATAGATAACGTATATTTGGGCCAACCCAACTTTCTTAAAAACTCGAAGAAATCTATTTAATTGGTTGGATACTAACTAGGAGAAAATCAATATGAGAAATTCATGAGTCGGCGCCCTGATAACTTCATAGTAAACATTGGCACCAAACGACCTGCTTCGATCCTGCTTCCTACTGAGTGGACTTAATCTTCAAATCCAATAACTTTACAAAAAAAATCACAGGTCAAACATCTTTTTATATTTGAGCTCAAGACAAAAATAATTTTCAGATCATTTTTAAAAAATTGTCAAACATGGTTAGTTGAAAAGTCGAAATTTGCCTGAAGAAGAAAACTTCCGAGCACAAATATTCCGTCGTTTTCTTCAAAATTCGGAACAATAACAATAGATACAATAAAAATTATTAATCAGACTAATGAAACTGTTTTTTATCTGACCCGAGGGCATGAATGATTCCGTCGCAATAATTATATTTCAAATTCGGTTAGAACTTTCACCTTCTTTTAACACCAACGAAAGTCATTTTTGTTTTGACAATAGAAGCTAGACTGAAAAAAAAAATTTACAACAATTTTATTTAAGTTGCTTGAAAAATGAAAAAATTATCAATATTCCCATAAGAATTTTGAAATTAACCGCAACGATATGTTACTGTGGAAACTTTGAATTAAAAAAACTGAACAATAGTGTGTTTCCTTCGCATAATGCAAAATTTTGTTCTTCACAACAACTGTCTTCTTATTGGGCGTGCAATAATCAGTGGCGTGCTAATTTAGGGAGGGGCGGTTAATCTATTGCGCGCTCCCCCATTCAAACTTAGTTATATTGGCGCCGAAGGCGTCTTCAGAAATTTTTTTGATGTTGGGCTGCCAAAAATGGATCTTGTAAAGTTATACCGAAGGGGGGGACCCCTTGAAAACATTTGGCAACCAGTTTGAGTTAGGGGGAGGGGGGAACAGTCGCCCTCACCCCCACCTTCTCGGCACGCTACTGTGTAGATTCATTGTTTGCATTTTCCTGTGTTTTTTTTAATTATTTTTTATCGGTCAATTAGTGTAAAAAATCAGCCGATGCTTTGTTTCTTCAAATGCGTTTTAGTTTTGTAGCAATATTCTCATATTAAGCAAAACTCTTCACATTATTTAATTAGAAGTTTATAGTTTGCTCTTTAAAATCAAGAAGGCAAAGTTATATCATAAACAGCAAAAATTATTCTGAATTTTGGAACGTTTCTTTGGTTGGGGGTTCCAAAACGTTGTGCAACACAGGGTTGTTTCATTCATTTACCGCCTCGTATATGTTTATTGTTTGTATGTTTATGCTTTCAAAATTATAAAAATTTTTTATGACAGTAAAAAATGAGTTATTCGTCTGCTAAGAAAATAAAAAAGCTTTCATGAGCCCAGTTGGGTATAAATATTGAGATAGTATTGAGCATAAGAAACAAAAGATCAAAACTCGGAAAATTTTTTGGCAACAACCCAACGTAGCCCATGAAAATCACTTCTAGGGTTTTACTGTCAAAACTCGGTAATTTAGCTAGGCAATTGATTTTTTTTGGTATTACTTCAAAAAAAATCTGTACATTTTAACTTTCCAAATGAAATAAAAAAAACTTTTTGCGGCTACTTTGAACATATCATTTTCCCTGGCGTTTGACACAAATATGAGATGAAAAAGCTGATAAAACCAATTAATGAGAAATAAATAGTCAATAATGCGCAATATTTCAAAAACCGTAGGTTTCAATTGAACATCATGATACGAACTAAAAACTGTTTTTGTTCTTTTTGTTTTTTGGTCGGATGCAATTGACTGTTATGAACAATTTGAATGCGCCTCCTGCGTTTCGAACCGCACTGAAGACAATGATTTGAAAATCCGAGTTGTAATGATACAACTTTTGGTCACTTTTTGGTGTGTTTTTGTTTCCAAAACAGGCCCGAAAAATCGGAAAATACAATTGGTTGACATATAAAAGTGTCGCTAAATTTTCAAAAATTTTTGAAAAATCCTCTCTTAACATGTCCAATTTATTAAAAATTAATTGCAGTGATTGGTTCATTCGCAGTTTTTGTCTATTCATCAAGTTGTTTCAACAATAATTAAAATCATGAAAAAAAAACATTAAGCTAATATTAAAAACGTTCAGATCGAAAAATATTACCAACAATTTTCTCAAAACTTGAAAGATGTTTACAAAAATTTTTTACCCATAAAAAATCATTTATGAGTTAAAAAATATAGTAAACATATTTTAAAGTCTGTGACAAAATGTAAATCTATTAGTACTTGTTGAATGTTTTTTTTTGTAAAAAAATCTCATGTTTTTTTTTTCAATTTAGGCTTTCTGGACTGGAAAACCCAAATGATGGACTTGTCAGCTACAGGAGCTGCAATATGGGCCGGGCACGAATTTTTTCGGACTCTTACAAGGAAAGGTTCTACAAGACAAACGCAAACCACGAAGAGGGAACCTGCCTGTACGAATAAAGCCTTTAAAATTTTTGTTCTGAATAAAAGTTAAGTTGCGAGGTGACTATTCTTCAATAGGGACAATTGTTCAGAGGCTATTATTGACAGTATTTTATAGGGCAGACTTTTGTCGTGCGGAAATTTTCTAGTGTAAATCAAAACGCTAGTTCAAAAAAGTTGGTTTAATACTGCACAACAACAAATGCTTTAGCGGGTGTTGGAGTCAAAATTGAATGTTTCAAGAATTATTGTTCCGACTTTGGATACGAAAGTAACGGAATATTTGTGCTCGGAGTGGGTTTTTTTTCTTCAGACAAGTTTTGACTTTTTAACTAGCCATTTTTGGCGGCAATTTTTTACATCATTCAAAAATAATTGTTGTCCTGAGCTTAAATTTGAAAAGATATTTTCCTGTGATCATTTTGCATAAAGTTATGGAGGTTTAACGATTGCCATTTTGGCCAATTAGGACAATTAACGCGCGATATATTTCGCGCTATTAATGCGTAAGCGGAGAGTTAATCCGTCTTAAAGTCGTTCCAAATTGGTTGAAAGAAGCTTATTTGTCAGAATTGATTTGTTACAAAGAGCTAAATCTATCTTTTTGTACTTTAAATGGCGTGTGGGGGGATGATTTTCGTAAAAACTTTCACATTTTAGAAAAAAAAACAATTTCCTTTTATTTTATTACATTTAATTTTTTTCTAGGTTATTGCTGCTCCATAAACTTCAAAGGCAGTCAGAACATTCAGGGCTTCACCCTGATACGAGCAGTCTTGTTCGCTATGCATTTTGATTTAATTATTTGATTTAGGACAATTTTTCATAGTTGCACTTAGTTGTCGCTATCGCTATGAATTTACAGGTTCGATAGACTTTGTCATAACATATATGAGATATTAATTAACGCGCGATATAATTAGTGCTATTAACGCGTAGCGGAGATTAAATCCATCTTAGAAATTGTTTCAAATTAAACTGTGGCGAGCTTTTTGGTCTAATTAAAACTTCACTATAAGCAAAATATATCATTTTGTTCTTCAAACAGCGTGCAGGGTATGATAAAAAAAACACAAAACTTTCTTAATCAAAAATTCGAAAAACTTCCAAAATATCATCCATTTTTTTCAAACACTACTCTATAGAACCTAAACAGCAGACGGAATATTTGAGGCTTCGCCCTGATACGAGCAGTCTTGTTTATTATTATTTTTAAAATAATCAAAAAAATTTTTTAATCTTCGGCAATCAGTCTTAAAAAAATTTGACAAAATTTCAACTCAGATGAGATAATCATCAGTCGAATAAATTTTTCAACCAAAAATTTAGTTTATATTAGAATATTTTTTTTCGTTTGCGAGTTTTTTGGGTCATTTCAATTCGAACAGTATAAACTGAAACTGTTATACCCTTTTACAAGTTTCTGGATCTTTGAGGTTTTAAAGATGTGTTTCGGATGTCTGCTATCTAACGTTTGCATTGTACATGTTCATAGTGTCTCTGCAAGTCAACTATCATAAAAGAAGTGGTCATTATAAACTCACAGTCAACCTAGCATCACGATAGTACCAGACACCTACATATTTTGATTAATGAAAATAATCTTTTTTCAGTCTCTGTCCCATAAGAATTTATCATTTGTATTCGTACCAAAAAACTGGAAGTTTTCTAGAAAATATTTGTAAGTGAAAAGTTTTGACGATTGCTTATACAACGAGACAACTGAAAAGAAAAGCTGTGATTGACAAGCAATGAAACGGTGGGTTTTGAAAATATCGAAAATTCGGTGCATCTGTTTAAGTTTGGCTTTATTGAATTTTCGATCTCTCCCAGAACATGAAGAACACCCTGATTTGCCTGGATATTCTGTGCCGCCGTGAAATGTCTGTTGATAGAATAAAAGTGTCAACGGTGACGTCATGATGCACTTTTTAGAAAAGTTTCATTAAAAAATTGGAGTTTAAGAATTGCTCTTTGTTATCGCGACAATCTCCCTCAGAGAAAAATAGAAACTGCATAAATCGTAACCAATAGTGATTTTTCGGAAGTCATGCGATGATTTTTTACTAGAAAAGAGGGACTCAACCCTCTCCCATTTTTGCCCTTTTACTTTCTTGCCACTGTTCTGAATAACTTTACGTACGACCATTTGATATTAACTAAACATCTGAAACGTTAGTTTATTTTTTGGAACAATAAGTGTTTTGGTGATTGCGATTTTATTTGATATGAACTGAAGGTATTTTGTTCAGAGCTCTTGAAATTGAATACTTTGAAGCAGATGAAATGTCTGCTCAAGTTTTGGGTTTTTGTTAACTATCCCCCGCCCCGCTTACAAAAAAACCGTGAAATTCCTTGGAGAAAACCGGGGTATATTAGGTGGTTTGGGTAGTTAACAAAATTTAAGTTTTGCACAGAGTTTAAAAGATCTTAATTAGTGCATTAATTGTCATGTTTAGACATGGAGATTCAAAATTTTGCTGGAACCCATTCAATTACAAACGGGAGAAGCCCTGTAAGTGGTATCAGCAAACAATTCTGGACAATTTTGCTTGAACCATAAAGTGACCACTCCTCAAACAAGATCCATTCAACTTCTTCTGAGTATTTGATTATTTGTTTAAATGATTATATGATTATTTGGTTATCTGGTTATTTGATTATTTTCCAGACTTGTTTCGACTTTTAGCTATGATTTTTGACGGATTTTTTAAAACAGCCAAGGGAAGACAATGTTTACCTCTGTCTGAGGTTTCGATTTTATGCTAGTCGAACTGAAAGTCGAAACAGAAAACCAAACAGAAATGTAACAAAAAAATTAAAATGAATCGTTGATCAATTTTTTAATGAAGGAAGGTTTTAATGCATAACTTTGAGAACTATTCGACTACTATCGGTTATAAAAACAAATTATCTAGGTATTTGATAAACCTATTCCGTTTATTCATCATCATCAGTACCAGCAAGAGAAACCTTCTTTATTTTCAAAAAACTCACAAAACTTCTGTTATGCATCAAACTGAAAAAATCATCAAAACATTTGTATTTGACGCACTATTTGTATCTTAATTTAAAAAATTATTATCGAAATTTAAATCTCCTCTCATTATTTTAACTTTGTGTTGTTAATTCAAATTTTGATTAAATACTGGTAATCAATGTGATGGTTTTATAAAAATTAGATAATTTGTTCTCAACTTTATGCAGGATTGTATAATCGTGTCGTATGCAACCAATTTTATACAAATTAAAATGAAGATTTTTTCATAACACTAAATTTGAACCATTATAAAAAAAATCATTTGTGATGAAAGATTAGTATTCATAAAGAATGATTTTGAAAAAAATATATATACTTGGATCAAGATTTATTTCAAACAAAATTTTTTTAGTTGAGTGGTAGCTTGCAAACTAGTTTTAATTATATTGGGATACGAATTTTTCAATTTAATCGGTTTAATAGAAACTACTAAAAGAACAATGTCTTGGTTATGAAAGTTTTGTGTCAGTTTATTACATATATAATGATATATTTTTGGATATTTAAAATAGCGGTTGTTTGAATTATCGGTTGTTCATGACATGTCGAAGAAAATCATGGCATTAATAATTTAACTTCATTAATTGTCATATTGAAATCTCAGTTTTCGAATCTTGGTAGGCCCTTTTTTGGTTCACTCGGACATCGAATTACTGACCTACAGTAAAACAGTATCTAAAATGTAATTGTTCCGATGTTTGAAGAAAATGAGGAATATATATGGCCGGGATCTTTTTTCCAGAAAAATGGACTGCATATGGGCATCGAGCCGGAAGTTTTGGAATTAACAAGCGGGTGTGCTTGCACTAGACTAAAGTGCGGCTTGGCTGGTAGAGATATACTTTGATGTTTTGTTTCGATACTCAATTCATTTATGCGTGGCAAGGTATCCGCAGTCATAATCATTCCAAAATGGATTGAGCCAGCTAAATAGTCTTAATTAATTCTTAACCGACTCAAAAGTTAACACTTTGATATTATCAGCTTAAAATTGATATTTGGTCAATATTTCTATTTTGAAAAATTATTCAAGAATAAAAAAGGGGCAATCGGAATTTTCAGGGCTTTGTAATAATATATACTCTCTATAAATAAGCAATACAAATCATTTATGAAAAAATTTATTGCTATTGAACCAAATGTAATTTCACTAAGAGCTTGAAAAGATACACTGGAGCGTTTTTTTACTCAAACTAAGCAAGAATTGAAATGAGAAAGGAAATGGGCAAACTATAAATTAGACACAAAGTTCAGTAGCTCAGTGAAAATTAATTCTATAATATAAGAATTTCAAAATCGAAGAAATTATTGCATAATTCGATTCGCCGATCTGGTGATTTAATGACGCATCGGTTTTCTGAACGCACCCCGTCAAAAAAATTGATGACACACTGTGAAGCACAAATCGAATTATCATGGCTGCAACTTGAAATCAGTACTGTAACAAAGTATTTCTTATCGGTTAACATGTATCAGGGTTAGTTAATTGATTGGAAACCAGGGTTTTCTTGAGCTTGTTAGCAATAATTGATAAGTCAATAATACCAGATCATTAAACTGAATGACCTAATAATAACATCAAATTTGAAAATAACAATTTGTAAAAAAAAATTTCCCTGACCTTGAGAAATAATTTCAAAAGTAAGAAACTGATGGCAAGAGGTATTTCCTCATTGATTTCATTTTTGTATTGAAGAAAAAACTTGATATAAAGAACATTGCTCAGTTTTTGATTAATATGATTACGTAATTGATAGTGCATAGGGATTTACTGATCTGGTATGCCCGTTTTCGGTTTGCTGATACATCGACTTACGAACGGACCTACTATCCTAAAACTATATTTAAAATTAACTACGAATAAAAAAATTATACCAGTACTGACTCGCAGCTAAAAAATGAGTAATTTTTTCAGTACTTTTTAAACTGTAATTTTGATATTGCTACAAATTGCAAAATTTTGTACAGTCTTCTAGATATACATTCTCCTGTTAATAATTTTGAAAGGAGCATATTACAACGTAGGGCCTAGTTGTAACCCATCTCGGTCGTGACAATCGTGTATTTTGTAAATCATTAAATCCCTTAAAAACTACATGCTTGGAAATAGCCTTGCTTCTAATTTCATCGGTTTTAGAATTCTTTTTTTTGTAATCATCTTTTTTCTTGCTTTAGTGGTTTTTATTTTAGTTTAGTGTACTCTAAGTAAAATTTTGGCTCACTGAAATGTGCAGCTTGCTATTCAGCTGTATCAAACAAATTTTTTGGTAATTTTCTCAATTTTTTCTCATATACTTTGCCAACGTTTCCGTCTTTTTTTGAGATATTTCGAGATAATTTTTTTCTTATGTTTGTTAAAATTTCAATAATTTCATCTGTAAATTGTGGTTTGTATCCTTTTCGTTTCGGAACGGAATGTTATTTTTCGAGTGTAATTCTTAACTTTGGCTATGTGCGTTTTGTAAACATTTTGCTACAAAAAAGTTATAAAAAAACATTTTTCTTATCTCTTAGAGTTTATTCAAGGAACTGGTGGGTGAAATTGAACAATTATTAAACACAATTTATTGTTCCGACTTTCGATACGAAAGTAACGGAATATTTGTGCTCGGGGTGGGTTTTTTTTCTTCAGACAAATTTCGACTTTTTAACTAGCCCTTTTTGACGGAATTTTTTTATATCATTCGAAAGGTATTGTTGTCCTGAGCTCAAATTTGAAAGAATATTTCACCTGTGATCATTTTTCGTAAAGTTATGGGGGTTTAAAGGTTGCCATTTTGGCCAATTTGGGACAATTAACGCGCGATATATTTCGCGCTATTAACGCGTAAGCGAGATTTAATCCGTCTTAGAAATCGTTCCAAATTGATTTAACGAAGCTTATTTGCCATAAACGATTTGTTACAAGTAGCGAAATCTATCCTTTTGTATTTTATATTGCGTGTGGGGGGATGGTTTTCATAAAAAATTTCAAATTTTAGAAAAAAAAATTTTATTTTGTTTTATTTGTTATTACCGCTCCATAAACCTAAACAGGCAGTCGGAACATTCAGGGCTTCGCCCTGATCTGAGCAGTCTTGTTGCAATTTAGGAACAAATTTCTCTTGATGAGCTTCAATTCAGAGGTTCGTTCAATGCTTCGAAAAACCGGAAATGCTGCCTTTGTCCCAGGCGTTCTTGTATAAGCTTTAGTATTTATCGCTTACTTTCTGGTTATCTATCGACCGACATTTTTTGAGGAGTGTATTTTTTTTAAAGAAAATCAACCTTGAGAGTTTTCTTTGGCGTTTCTTGCTTTCATTGTTTGAACTATAAATTTTGGTTGACTCCATTTTTTTGTCTAACTGATTTATCTACGGAGAGCAAGTCTACACATCACTTGTGTCATGCCTTTTGAAAAACCTGAAGAATTGGAAATAGTCCTATGGGTGGACCAATTATTATTGATGAAATTTTGGATTGGAAAATCTTGTTTACTTCTAATGTCGAAAAGCCGCTTAGTTTTTTCACGTTCTTGATAGAACCGTACGCTGATCCACTTCAAGAATAAAACCTTTTAAATCCTAGTTTTTCAAAATTTGGAGGAAATACAGCTTCTACTGTCGTTTTTCTGGCATTCTTCTTTGTGACAAACTTCGATCGATTTTGTGTTGCTATGAAAATTGGAGAAGGTTATCTAGCAAATCTGTGCTTTTTATCTTGATTGTAAACACAATATTAAAAATGTTGTTTTTTATATCTCTGTAAAATAAAATATTTCTTGTTATCGAAATTATTTTAGCCTCGGAGAGTTCAAAAAATTCAGTGTGACTCGTTTTCAATTTCGCTTATACTGAGAATCAATTATTTTAAAATTACTTGAACAATTTTTTTTTCGAAGTTTTTCAGTTTTTTGGAAGTTGATTTTTAATCAAAGAACTGAATAAGGGATGAGTGTAGAATGATCTATTGGACATCACGTGATTTATGTTAAATGGGCGATGATAGATGTAGAATTTCTTTGAGCAAAGGAGTTTTTTCAAAAAACTTTTAAACGTTTTACTACGTCTTCTTTCCGAAGATCTCGAAGATCTCCTTTTATGTATGCCAGACACTCGTTGAGAAACTGAAAATAAAACTTTGAGCAATCGCAGATGAATTGTTTTTGGTGTTTTAAAGAACATGTCGTATTATTGGGAAAATTGGGACGTTTTACAAACTCACTGTTCCTTAATTGTGCTTTTATCCCAGCTGGTGACAAAAATTTTGTTGGACCTGCGAAGTCTTTGAGTCATGTCATTGTGAATTATTTTTTTTTTTAAATGTTCAATAGATAACTGAATGACCATATGGAATAAGTGTTCCATCTTGTTTTAAAAAGATTTGTTTTTCAAATCAACCAAACTCATGACAACAACTGTTTCTTTTCGCTAATAGGTTGAAAACTATTAGCAGTCAAATATTGCAATCAACTTTGGTTCAAATATTTCAACAGGAGGCAAAAAATCGGTTCAAGACCAAAAAAGTGAACTTGGGAGTATGGGCAAAACACAACAAAAATAAAGTTCGATGCGTGAACTTGATTTTACAGATCAAGCAAAATCATGTAGAATGGCACCGAGTATAAAAATTTTGTAGTTGTTAAAAAAAGCTTCATACACGAGATTACGTATGCGGAAAGTCCATTAAAAAATTT